CAATCACGTCAAAGAACATTTGCCTTGACACTGAAAACTGATATGGACATTTTTCTCGCGTAGAAATATTTTGCGTAAATATTTTGTTGCTTGTTTTACGGAGTTAGTTGCGTTGTTGTTTTTAAGTTATTGTTCACGACAATTTTGTTACCCTTTGTTTGGAGTCTTAAGAAGTTTCGGAGTTTTTTGAGCCAAGTATTGTGGTTATTTCAACAAGTTAATACATATTTTCTACGGAGTTTAAACTCCAGCCTCTTTTTTCGTAAATGGATTCTTTACAATTCTGTTGGTCAGCCTTTTGGTTTATTCGGCAGAGCAAAAATGGTATCTAGAAGTATGAGATCGTATGAAAAGTTGTTATCAGCTCAAAAAGTATTCCCAAGCATTTATAAAGGCGCTCGTATATAAATCCAAATACGGCAGACTTGTAAAACGATGACCCGAACATAGTCTCTTTTAATCTCGCCTTTACGCCACTAACCTTTATTTGGACTTAGTTGAAGTACGGCCCTTTTTCTAGCATTTTCTCGAGTTAGATGGGTGAGCAATAGCGTGGTTACTGCTAGGTAACTGACAAGGACAAAAACGAGGGACTTTACCAGTTGCTCTTGTTAACTGTCATCTAACGCTTCAACCTCGACTATTAAAAGTCGAAAGAATGATTTACGCCAGTTTTGCTACATGCTGAGTTCTCTACGTTCAAGTTCGCTACACGTTTGCTTCACTTACTCTTACTCCAAGTCTAAATTTAGATTATAAATAAAATCGTGGAAAATATTCACAAAAGGCCGTTATGAATGTTATACCCGGGCGAACCGTGGCACGTGTGTTACTCGAGTTGTAAAGTTATACGTTTGTAGCAAACTCGAACTTAGTATACTCGAAATGTAGCGTAACCGCTGTTACACTTTCCAAGGCCATTTGATCCTGATTTAAGTCAGTTGCAAAGCATTTTCTGTGACGTTACAGCTAAACCAACACTTGAGGGAGGTCAAACGCAGTATATAGCCAGAGGCAGCCGAATGTATCTGACGTGTCGGTACAGCCCTTTGCCTCCTGTATCCAAGGTGCAATGGATTAAAGATGGGATTGTGATCACACAAAACACAACCGTTTTGATTAAAGACTCACGGATGAATATCACAAAGTACAACGAGACGCAAACACAGCTATCAATTACGAAAGTTACCGCAAAGGATGCTGGAAAGTACGTATGCAATGTCACATATGATAGTGACAGTGCATCGGAAACGAAGATAGTTTTTATTGGAAGTGAGTACCTTTAGATACAATTAAGGTTCATTATATTTGTTCATGATCATGTTAACAGACAATTCTGTTTGGTCCCGCTAAGAGTAAGGAGATCAATATCTCCGCGCGCACGTTTACGTTTATTTCTCTTTAGTGAACTTAAGTGCAGGAAAAGAATTTCTCAGTTTAGTTATCAGCTGTTGTGTACCCCTCGTGGTTTCAAGTTTGAAAATTTGTTATTGAATGGTTGGTATCGCGTCATAGAGGGGGCCTTTCAAACAAGAGAGAGGGTACGATAATCCAAGAAATTCCGCAAAATTTTGACTAGTTACTTTGGTAATTGTAGATTACTTATATTTTTTTGTAGAGCAGCTGCAGACTAGCGAAAGTTAAGCTTGTCATTCTATGTTAAAAAAAAAAACCTGAATGTATTTTTGCACATGTATGTAAATAATTCTAAAATAAGACACAAAGAGCGGGGATAAACATAATGAACTTGCACATTTTGATTATGACTTGACATTTCGTATGTACTCCACATACATTTTCAAAAGTAACCGTTGATTTTTAAAACAGCTATGTATATCTATAACAAAGGTGAGAGGACTGGAACCAAGATTACGATGGCCTAAGAACAAAACCATTTAAAGAATTCTAGTTAATGTATCATATCAGTACTTTCCCGCAAAACTTTTCAAATATTATACATACAGGTCATTCGTGATCGAGATCGGAAGAAAAAAATGTGTTTTTGATGTGTGTTCTGGATGCAGTAAGAGCTTGGAAAGAAAGCAAGGATCAATTTGAAAGAATAAGTTTGGAAATACATTAAATTTCACAAAGCAACCAGGTGGGCAATCAGACATGGCTTGATGCTACTTTGGTTTAAAGATTTAATGCATGTAAGCGAGAAGTTACAATTCGTAGACCCAACGTTTCGACACTCCTGCCTCCGGTTTTCCTCCCTATACGAAAACCAACCTTTAAATTCCAACTCCACCTGGAACCAGAGGACAAGAAGAGCAATCTCGTAGAATGTCCACTATCATCACCTTATTATTGTTATTATTATTATTATAATTTTTTATTAAGTTTATAGCTAAAGGAGAAGATGTTGAGTTAACATGTCGTTACAATGGTTCAATTCAAACTCAGCTCGGTTCAATTTGCATTTCAGTCAAGCCAGAAGTTGTAATTGTTGGCGATCTAGAGAGGTTTATAGCTAAAGGTGACGACGTTGAGTTGACATGTCGGTATAATGCTTCACCGCTAGTGTCTAAGGTACAGTGGATTAAAAACGGCACAGTGATGGCGGTAAATACCTCTGTTCTGATAAGTGACGCACGGGTGACTGTTTCGGGTTACAATACAAGTCAAGCGGTGATGTCAATCACTGCAGTTACTCAAGAGGACAGTGGAAATTATACCTGCAGGGTTACAAATCATGTCGATAGTACATTGGCCACGACAGTGATTACAATTGAAGGTCTGTAAGTGATGTGAATGTTATCGAGGGTCATCTCTTCTTTCATGTCAGTGCAACCGTAACCCACCCAATGCCTTAAAAATCTTTCGATTTGAAACTTTCATGTCAACTTCAAGAACCAAACCTAAAGCAAAAATTCTTTTTTATCACGAAACCCGCGTTTTTCTACTGAAACGAGACCGAAGCTTTGCGTGACGTCGCACTAGTTTGCTGACGAGATTGATGGGAGATAAAACGATAAGTGCTAATGTAGGATAAATTGGCCACAATAGTGACGCTTTTATTTCACCCGACCTCAAGAACATTGATATAATAAACATCACGCAATCTCTCAAGCAAAGGTGGGGTTAAATATCGGCAAAGGGCCAAGTACTTGTAAAAAAGGCAACGAAAGTCTGAAAAGGAAGCCGGAGCATGGGGAGGGGGCGGGAAAATTCTTCTACAGTACCGAAAATCTGTGTTCGGATGTTAATACGATGGAAATGAAGGCGAGAAGGATTAGGAGAGAAACTGACCTTGGCTATAATCTTAGTACTATTTGATCTCACTTCATTTGATTAGCTTAAGTTCTGTGATTGACAACGCTCCTTGCCCCATACAACGGCAAACCTAAATACTTAACTATGACGGGCCTCAAGATAAAATCCCATCGTGCTTATCTCATAATGTTGAACTTTTCGAGACTGAATAGTTCAGTGAACCCTGAAGGGTGGTGAGAATTTGGAGGATTTTGGTTGTGTCGCGATAGAGTTTACTTGGTCTCTCCCAAAGGTTATGCATTATTCTAATGCTACCCTCCCGTTCCCCTCCCTCACACTGGGAGTTGATTTGCAGTCAATTTTGCATAGTCTCCCTTTATGCTCTGTTAGTAACGACTGATTCCGCCCTCTGTTCCCCCCTTGAAACCATGTGATCTGCCTCAAAAACCTCCAACCCCCTTCCTGCAAAAACAAAGGATCCTTAAAAGAAGTTCGAAATGTCGTCCACAAATAGTGAATAGGAAATGCGAAAGTTAGTCAGTGCCAGTTCACTGAGTAACTACTCTATGATGCAAACGAATAGATTTCTTCCTTTTGTCTTGCGGTTAATTTTTTGTTGTTGTTGTTTTTATTGTTTCTGCACAGCTAAACCTTCCATCACTACTTTTCCACAAAGTGTTACTATCAGAGAAGGAGAAAATGTGACTTTACAATGCAACGCGACCGGAGGTTCATCATTAGAAATATCTTGGAGCTTTAGGGGATCTTTGATGATGAAAAATGGAGGGGTGGGAAACATTCTCACCTTGTCAATAGTGAATGTGAACAGAAAGTATGGTGGAGATTACCGGTGTGTTGTGAGGAGCAGGATTGGGAACAACACCTCTACCTCTACGCTTAATGTGCAATGTAAGTACAATACAAGAGTGAGTGTTTTCTTGAGGAATTAAGGCTATACTGGTCAGCATAAATGTAATTAAAGGTTGATTAAGCAGGTTGATCATAACGTATAATTGCAATTTCCTATAAGGTAGAACCAAACAAAATGTTTTGTATCTCTCAGTTACCACGTGTGCTATGATTAGACTAGGGCCGTATTTTACTGTACAGCCCGCTAAATTCAAAAGTTTCAATCGAAATCCTCTCCTTCAATTTAGACCAGATATATGAAACAAGTTTGACCAACCCCATATCGCTCGGCCGGTACTGTAAGTTAATTAAGGAACCTGGATTCTTTTTCGCTCAAGTTTATGGTCGGCGCATTTCGCGCTTTGGCCAAATTGAATCAAAGCGGAAAAATCCCGTTCTCCAACTTATAGTAATGGTTTGTATATGGACAAGTTCAAAGTAGAATAGTAGTATCTAAGCTTTACGTTAAGTTATAGATGACTCACGGTACAACTTCTTCTTCGTCACGTAGAAGAAACACAGACGACACAAGAAAGTATTTTACGGTCAAATGCTCTAATTTGTACATCATAGCTATAGGAAGTGTCTTAAAGCTTTATCATAATGGTTATCATGTTCTAGATCTCTCTTAAACATAGTTAGCATCTATATTATCCTTTAATCATTATTAAGGATAAAAACCAGCGATATTGAAGAATGAAGTTTCGACGGCTCCATGCCATCATTCTCAAATTCAAATAAATACATTTCCTGAGTTCATCATATAGAAAAAGTACGTGTGAAGATCTCAATGCATATGATTAAGAAATAAAACGATGAACAAAAGATAAAAATAAGTGAATAAAATACAAGCGTGGTGCGCTTGAACTGGCAGACAAAAATTTTTGCTTTGATGGAGTCAGATTGAGTGTTAAGTGTTGGTTTTCTGTCTTTGATGAAGAGCATTTCATAAATTAAACAATCCAGTTTCCGACGGCATTTCTTGAGGATTGTAAATTGGTCGCGAAGATCTTTATTCCTTAGATTGTGTACGTCCCGTAGGTGTTTACCAATGACAGAATGCTTGTGCTCATTCATGTGCTGAAATAGGTGTCGGCACGTATAGCCGACATAATCTGCGTCGCACACATCACTTTTGTATTTATAAACAACGTATTGTTCGTTAACAAGAGGTGGTTTGGGTTCCGTCACTTTGATCTCATCAGCAATCTTTTTGCTCGTAAACACTGGGCACAAATCGCTGTTGATTTTCTTCGCGAGATCGGAGAACTGTCTTCGTACTAAGTCGGCTGACCGTTGATCTTTAAATGGTATAATCACATCAGGCGCCTGTTTTCGGTCTTGAGACTCGATGAATCTGGTGATTGCACGGTTAATGAGTCACTCGGGGTACTTAAGCTTGAGAAAGATCTCTTTCAAGTTGTCACATTCGGCAGCGAAAAGGTTAGATAAAGATGAGAGTCGATGGGCACGATTTAATGTCGTCGTTAGAAGCATAGTTAGTAGAGGGGACTACTAACTATGCTTACGTTTATACCTATTGTCCACATGGCTTTGGTAATGGAGAAGAAGGCCTTTATCCATTGTTTTTCTGTAGACCCATGTTCTAACTTGGCTACCCATCTTCATAAGTTCCATTCCGATGAAAGGCAGTTTGCCATTCATTGCTACTTCCATGGTAAAGTTGAGTGCAGGGTGTGCGTTATTCAGCGTTGCAAGAAAAGCACCAGCAGTTGGAATGTCCTACACCACGGCTAAGGTGTCATCCACGTACCTTCTATAGAAATAGGGTAATTTCTTCTCCCTTTCAGTCAATCGAGTCACTCAATCTGACTCCATCAAAGCAAAACGTTTTATCTGACAGTTCAAGTGCACCGCGCTTGTATTTTATTCACCTATTTTTATCTTTTATTCATCGTTTTTATTTCTGAATCATATGCATTGACACCTTCACACGTACTTTTTCTATATAATAAACTCATGAAATGTATTTATTTGCATTTGAGAATGATGGCATGGAGCCGTCGAAACGTCATTCTTTAATATCGCTGGTTTTTATCCTTACGATTGCTTATCGAAAACTTTAGTTATTAATCATTATTGTAACTTTTTTAAAACTTAATATGTAAACGATAGCGTAATTCAGCCTATGGGCTGCAATGTGGTTTTAATAAACACCTACCTACCTACCTACCTACGTATTTACATGGAACTACCAACTACTTGTGACGTGTCGTTGAAGGCTTTCCACAACTGGAACGTAAATTATGTTCTAACGTACATTTGAAAGTTAGACTCTTTAATACCGAATTCCTCCTTAAGAATAGGTGATATCATTTGTCATTTAACAATTTTTATTTCTCTCAGTTGCGCCCGAAATCCTAAACCAGCTTCCACTGAACACCACTCGGCTGACCAGGGAAGGATACAAATATATTGTATTTAGCTGCACAGTTGTTGGAAACCCTCCACCTCTTGTTTATTGGACGAAAAATGGATTGATATTGAACGTGACAGCAAATCCACGATTAAGTGCACCATCATGGAACTCTATTTACAGCCTGAATATCATCAATGTAAGTCGATCAGACGCAGGGCAATATCGTTGTTTGGCTATCAACAGTGTCGGAAACTCAGCATCTCATGGGGAGACCCTTAAAGTATTTTGTGAGTATTATTTCGATAGAATATGCTTATGTACTATTAAAAAAATCTCTAAACTTAAACTTTCTTATTTCGGTTTTTACATGTGTGTTTGAGGATAGATAATCAAATACGTTCATTAGCATATACCAAAATACAGTAGATAGCGTTGAAGGCGCGCTCTGATTGGCTACTCATACCACAAATATCCTTAGATATTCACCTCCGAGCACTGCATGCGGGATTGAGCCAGAAAATAATGTAATCTTTGAAGGAATAAATGAGTTGAAATTTTCTTTTTGTGCTATATTTTAGTATCTATGTACTGAAACAACTATTCACGTCAGTTTAGGTGGCTAGCAATGCATATCCATGCACTACTACTCACCTCCACTTCGGTGCATGGTTCTTAACTAAAAGAAATATTTAGATGGTGAAAATGACCTTGAAAAAACAACGTTATCGTTTGGTGAACCACCTGGTAGCTACCCTCTTAAAAATTCAAACGGTGAAAATCAACATTTTATGACACTGACTTCAGATGTACCCAAGATCACAGTTCATCCTCAGAATATCACTACAAAAGAAGGAGGTAGCCTCAGCATATATTGTAACGCTACTGGAAATCCAGACCCAACAGTATCGTGGACCAAAGATGGATCTCTCATACGTAGAAATCTCAGGATTGCTATGTCGGCGGACAACAAGCAGCTGACCATAACCAATGCAGCTGCATCAGACAGTGGAGAATATCGATGTACCGCTGTGAACAGCATTGGAAAATACGCTTCCATCGCTTCTACAGTCATTGTTCAATGTAAGTGTTTTTTGTTTATGTTTTGCTGAGTTGATAATCGCTATCGTATAACATACAGGACAATTTTTAATAGCAAAAGTTTTTTCGGTCAAATATTGCAGAATTTGAAAGCGACTAAAAAAAAAAAAAACAAGTAAATTTCAGCCTGATAATTGTTTTTGAGATGAATATCGTCTTGTTGAACGTGCTGTTGGCAACTGTTACCATAACAAAGTTGTGGCGTGTAAGTAAGAAAATCAGCGTTAAAATTCGGCTCTTTAAGATCACCCTAAGGCATTTTTTTCCTTTTTGCATGAGCGCGGTTGCGTTAAAAATTTATTCAGATTATAAGCTGGCTTTACTGGCGGATTTCTTGAGTCTGTGAGAAGTTTGAAAAAATAACTACATGTACCATCAATGAAAGTTGGATAGGAACTTGGATTAACTAGTGGCTGAAGGACAAAAATTCCTGATATTAATCGGCCACGTCAAAGCTCTGACAAACTGCACTGAATGGGTGTTTTTCCCCTCATTAATGGAATTTCTTTAATCAAGATAAATCCAGTGGACTAATAAAACCATTCTTTTAACCCGTTAGCTGCACCCAAAGCACCAAAATATGTGAGAGTTGTCTCAAAGAGTTCAAGAGTCGTAAATATCTCCTGGACGGCTGGTTTTAATGGAAACAGTGCTATTACAAACTACACGGTAGAGATCAGTGAACATAATCAGATGTCCTTTAGAGATGCAGCATGTCAAGGATCTCTCTCAAGAAGTTCCTGTGTGATATCCAGCCCCTTTACAAGTGCTTCTCTTTATGGCCTTCTTCCCTGGACAACATACTTTGTCAGAGTTTTTGCAAGGAACATGGTGGGCTCTAGTATAGGCAGCTCTTTAGTGAATGTTACCACAAATGAAGAAGGTAAAAGAGACTCTTAGTTTATATATGTTTGCTCAAAAGTTATGGCATGCATATTTTATGTAGATCTATAGAGAATGATACCATTTCGGCTAAGTAAAACGATTCTGCTCATAGGTAGAGTCATTTTTGCAGTGCCTTCATTGTTTAATAAACAGTACGCCATTATTTGCCTCAGAGCCGACTGCAGCTCCTACGAATGTGAGAGGACATAACACCAGCTCAACCAGCATCTTAGTGGAGTGGGGTGATGTTCCAGCTGCAAATCGGAATGGTATCATTTTAACTTGCACTATCACCTATCATTCGCTGATTGAGAATGACAATGGCAGTAAAACAGTGGATTATGTAGATCATCAAGTGAATCTAACAAGTCTGAAAGAGTTTGTCAACTACAGCATCACAGTGTTCGCATCGACGGCAAAAGGGCATGGACCGCTGAGCAATCTTATTGTTATTACCACTGATCAGGACCGTGAGTGTTTTAATCTAGAAAGTAACCATTGTTACTACGCCCCAGTATTAAGACGAATATCTGAAATTTTATCAGCGATGTAAGTTAAAGTATATTTTTCGTAAAAACATGGTACATCTCTCGCATGACATGTTCTCTTTCGAAATGCGCTACCCTTCTACAGTCCCTGGGCACAATATCACAATTGATATCACAATTGATCACAATATCACAATATCACAATTGATTATTGTGCTATTGTGACGGAGAAGAAGTTTACGAATGAATTTATTTTAAAAAATAAAGATGTGAGTATGTGCAATCATTTTGTCAACGACTTAAAAACGCGCGGTGCAACGCACTTGTATGTTACAAAGCGTAGCACTTTAAGGCTCCGACTGGGTTCTGGTCAAATCATGACATGATTCACGACGCGAAAGGAAAAGGAAAGGGAAATGATTTTTAATGCAAACGTAACCAAGCAGGTAAAGAATAAGTTTTCAAAGTGCCTCTTCAATTGTATCTACTTCAGTGAGCTTTTTATAGACGAATTTGCATTTTTATGTCACTAGTGGAAGAATGCTGTTCTAGGCTTATGCCTTTGGTCTCGTGTCAGTAAAAGAAAATTAATCATTTTGAGGGCAGTATTAAATCCTTGTAATGTTAGTCAAGGCCTAGATTGAACTGACAAGTTTATTTAATTTCAACTGGCAAACAATTTGACCGGTTCTACAGCCAGAATATAACCTCTAAAACTTACTTGAGTTGTGCTCTCTTCCTTTATTCATGATTATTCGCTCATTACTCAGGGCCATCTGCTGCTCCTTTGATTGTGAAAGCAATTGACCTCAGCTCCACAAGCATCATAGTCTATTGGGATGAAGTTCCGGCTCAAGATCAGAATGGAATCATTCTTACTTACACCATTACCTATCAGTCACTGACAGAGCATGACAATGGCCACTTCATCGTAGATTATCCAGAGTATCGTAAGGAGCTGATAGGTTTAAAAGAATATGTATACTACAAGATTAAAATTTTCGCATCAACCGAAAAAGGGAGAGGACCTGACAGCAATCCCATTTCCGTCCGAACTGATCAGGATAGTAAGTCACTTAACTACAAGCATTTTCATTTTATACGAATTGTGTGTTGCAATGCTGCCACTCGTTGTTTTGCATTAAGATGAAAATTGGCTAAAATTCCTGCTTTATTTCTAAATTATAAAACATGACTGTGTATGAGCTCGCAACGTTTTTCGTAATCAACAAGTGGTCATTCATTAGTACGTTACTCTAGGAGTGAACTTAACATTCAACATTCACCTGGCTTACTCGGTAACTGAGGTTTGCTTCCCATTCTCTCTTATCTTAATCATAATAAAAAGAAATCGATAGACACAGGTAGATCAATTTCGTTTTTAAAAGATTCCGAATGAAACTTTGTCTTGGGCAATCACCAAAACTTTTGTACATGTAAAATCCATTGTACCAAATGATCAAATATCTTACTCTCTCTCTCTCTTTTTTTTTTTGTTCAATCATAAAAAAATCGATATACCTAAGTTGATGAAATTCTTTTTTGTTAATAGATTCCGAAATAAACCCTGTCTCGGGGAATCACTAAAACATTTGTGCCTGTAGAATATACTGCACTAAACTATCTAATATGTCTAAATTTAGAGCCTTCTGGTCCTCCAGCATACGTGAGAGTATACTCCTACACAACCAGCATCTTAGTGATGTGGGATGAAGTTCCAGCAGATGATCAAAATGGTGTTATTACAGGCTACACCATAACCTATTACCCACTGCCTCAGAATCACAGTGGCTTAGTCAGGGCAGTAAATTCTTCTCAACATCGAATAACCCTAAAAGGTCTAATAGCGTCGGCCAATTACAGCATCAGAGTGTTAGCATCCACTCTTAAAGGAGATGGACCAAGCAGTAATCCCATAGTTGTCACCACTTTGCAAGGGAGCAGTAAGTACAAATCGAGCCATTGAAACACATATATTTAGTCAAAATCGATGTTCGTAATACATGATACAATTCTTCAATACAATTTCTTTTTCAATTTGGTTACGAGTTTTGTTGATATACAGTCCCACCTAGGATCACCATTCATCCCGAATCTCAGACCAAACCAGAAGGAAGAAATGTGACTTTATCTTGTTACGCTGACGGAAATCCAGAACCGACAATATCATGGACTAAAAATGGATCTCGTATACAAGACAATCCCAGAATACGTTTCTCAGTGGACAACAAGAAGGTGACTATAAGAGATGTAAGAAGGACAGACAGAGGCCAATACCGATGTGTGGCGTACAACAAACTGGGGAAGGAATCCTCAAGGATAGCTTTACTGACCATCCAATGTAATATCCTTGCTCTTGTCAAGTTATTTAACAAAGTTAGGCTGTCTGCGTATTTCATCCTCACTCTTTGTTTATTTCTTCATTTGTCTTTTTCGCGCCAAAAGCGATGCTTCAGTAAACTTGACTTATATGATCCTAATGAGTACCCTCTAATGGCAGAGAACAGTAATCAGTGGAACGAGTACTAGCTGGGGGTAACAAAATGGCGGTTTGCCTAGTTCTAACAGTAAATGGAAACAATCGTGACATTATCGTTACATTACTTTTAAAACAGAAACATTCACTGTGCTTATTTTTGGTGACAATTTTGGAAAAATTACTGAAGAGCAGGTACAATTTGGAAGCACCCGAATTTATGTCTCATTTGTATTTTTCCTTTCAAATTTTTAGTTGCACCTGAAATAACCAAAATTCCAAAAGATGCCACGAAGAAGGAAGGACAAAAAGTTATATTTAGCTGTTCAGCAATTGGGAACCCTCAACCAATAATTCATTGGACAAAAGACGGAATAAGAATTTATGTCGAGGACAATCCACGTTTCAATGTATCTTCAACAAGCGCCAGTCACAGGTTAACAATCATGGATATCCGCCAATCAGACGCAGGAAAATATAGATGTGTTGCTGAAAACAGTGTGGACAGTTCTGTTTCATCCGCAGCGACTCTGACAGTAGCATGTAAGGTTTTAATTAGTCGTTTGACTCATGACTGTTACACATTAAGACTCGGCATGCCTGCTCCTTGTAGAACGCGTTTGAATTTTATGAGGATTTTACTCGATTACACGCTCTGTTACAAACCCTTGACGACCCGAATTTTCATTCTTTCATTCATTCATTCTTTTCATTCAAACGTCGGCTGCGGTATCTTTCATTCCCTATTTGAGTTTCTGGCCGAAAAGAAATTCATGAGGTTTAAAATTCCCGAAATGAATCATAGCATGAAGTATAATGTTATGATTTATTAGAAAAAATGCAATTCAGATTTTTTGTTACTAAATCTGTCTTGTGACTTATTGAAATCACTAGCTCTGATTTTAGCTTTGAAATCTGAGTTATACACACAAGCTTCAAGCTGGCAACCTACTGAGAATTAAAAAAGTAATTGTCAGAGATTGCTGTATCGATTAGATTCTCAACTCGAATTTTCCCTTTGGAAAGTACGAGTGCGTCTCTCGACACTTAACTTCTGAATTTGCTGCAATAGACGGTTTTTAATGTAAAAATCTTACTGATTAGTCTAACCCAATCTTTCTTATGCTTTCTCAATCAGACAGACGGTTTATCTGGAACAGCATTGGTTGCTGCCTGAAAAATGGTTTGAAAAGTTCTGCTTTGAGTGGCTGTACACACACCAACTGTTGTTCATAGAATGCAGTTCTTGATCATCACTTGTGATTTGTGATCCTGATCATGAATAATATAAGTGTTCCCTTTGTACTTTTCTCTAGCGGATAACAGCTGGAAGGCATTCCTAAGATGTTTAGTGCTACGACCACAGGGATGAGAGCCTGACCGAGTAATTTAGAAAAAAATTATAAAAGCGGTATCTAGCGCGGAAACTATATACCGGCTCCATTGGATTTGCTTAACTTAGAGGTAACAGGTAGTTCTTTAGCACTGACAATCACCAACTCTGGAATATATACCTGAGGTCAAAAGGTGATTTTGCGAGGCTGACTGTCTTTTCAGAATCTAATTTTATAACGTCAGTCCTCGCCACCTTTCCGCAGTACGGGTTACGGTGGAATCATCTCCTAAAGATGCGTGGCCAGTCGAGGTCTGGGTTTTAAAACTTGGTCAAAATGAAGAAAGCCACGGTCGCTGATATTGCCTTGAACACAATTTTTGTCCCGTGGGATTGGAATTTAAACAAACCAATCTTCTTAAGTTCAAATGCGCGAGGGATTGCTTGGGGATTGCCCGGGGGGGGGGGTAATGTTGATGTTCAAGCTTTGAATTTATCGACACGTAATGGTAAGTTAGTCAATAGAAATGATGAGGAATATTAATTTCATAGATGCGACAAACGTGAGGAAATCGTTAGAGGAAAAACAAGAAACAAAATTAGTTCCATTTTGGGTGGGTGGATTCACAAAGGACTGTTTTCAAGGTTTACTAACGATGTATTCGTTTGCCACTAGGGGTAACTGGTCAAGTCGCCCGAGAGTCGTCTCGTCCGAAGTCATGTTCACCCAGAACCTGAGTCATGTCGCCCGCAAAAAAAAGAAATTCAAGTCGCCCGGAGAAACAAGTACTTAAAAGATCACACTTAGAGACTGTAAATGGGCAATAAAGTTGAGAAATCGTTATCACTAAAGCGTTGTTTGTTTCCATGAAGCTGATGATCAAGATAGAAATATGGGAAGCGTTGTTCGTCTCTACAACTGAACAAAAAGCAGCGTTGCCCAGTCTGTTTGGTATGCACTCGTTTCATACTGACGCACGTTTTGTTCTCTGTCAGTTCATACCCACTGTGAATCGGTTCGTTCGTTCCCAACCCGCTGGTAGATTCGCACCCGTTCAAACACTGAGTGATCATGATGATCATAACCCCAGTAAACAGATGTCGATCGTCGCAAACAACAAGTTAGTAAGTGCGTAACATGCAAATAAAGTTCTGTTGTGTATCTTTGTGACCTTCTTAACAAAAACAAATTTAAAAATTTACGTACTGCCTTGCGCGAGGTAGGTGTGATATTTCTAAGGTAACAGTCTATTGTTTCTACTTACTTTTTTAACAATAGTAGTCTGATAGCATCATTTTCCTTATGATCAGAGTATAGATTTAGGTATCGCATTTAAAGAGAAATTTTAAGGTTTGAAATTGAAGTCCGGTGTCATTACACCATGAAGGTTTGGTAACGTATGTATATACATCATAAGTGTGATTCTATCGATCGGTATCCTCAGCACTTCCTAAAAACATGCAAATTAGTGTTTTACAAAAAATATAAAAATCGGACGACTTGACCTATTAATTGGGGTGCGACATGACCATAACTTCGCGCAACATGACTCGGGTACCGGGCGAGATGATTCTTAGACGATTTGACCGTAGACCGCCATTAGGATGATTCCCGGTGAAAAGTTGGCGGCTGTAGCAGGAACTCAAGAGTATGACAGTTTCCATGAAAACGTCACTGCACAAACGCGTCAGAGTCAAAGTCACGCGAACGTTTGACCCACTCCTTCACGTTGTGCTCGAGCGTTTTAACGTCTTCAGCCAGTGCAGGTTCTTAAAGATGGGGATGACAACGTCAGTCGTCGTCTTACTTGCCACACATCTTGGTAAGAAAATTATGTTTAGTTGGGATTTTTTTTGTACATTATTTCACCATCCTAGATTTGAACCTTCCAGGCTTTACATGTATGAAGTATTACATTGTACATCAGTGTACCGTTAACTATTGTTTCCTTGTGGTTTGTAATTTGCAACAGCTACCGAATCCAAAGTATCGAGCAAAGATCCTCCCTTAACTTATTTTAATCATAGAAATTCATGGTTGAATTTCAGACCACGAAGGAGAGCGAACCATCGAGTTAGTCGTAGTTCGATTTATGTGAATTTATTTATTTTCCAGTAAACATTAACTATCAAGTCATCAATGATTGCAGAAGGATTGCAATAATAATAACGGTTATCTACAAATTTTTAAATAACTAAAAAAGAACTAAGCAATGTAATAGAACCCAATAGAAGCGTATAATACTGGGTTCCTCAGACGATGCAATGGATGGAAGAAAACCACGCGTGTCACAAAATATGACTCTCCTGAACTGAACCAACGAGTGAAATTTATATCAGGTGACTCCAGGCATGTTTAAGTTTAATTTCTCTCGATTAACAATTTTCTTACTAAACTTTAGAGCTAAAATGTTTGTCGAATGAGGTGAGATCACAGAGTAGGCAGTTCCAAACTTTTGTGACGGATTCTAAACTGCTAGCATAATTAAGAGTTTGTTCATGCTTAGCGTGCGTAAATCGAGTTATTGATGCACGCGGGAAGTTTGGAGAGCACGAAAAATGCGCAAGCTAGTAGCTCGAGGCTGCGCCTCGAGCTACTTTAGCACAGCCAAATGCATTAACGAGTTCTTAAATAACAGAGCGACGACAAGGATCTGTGCGAAGAAGCTTTTTATTGTGATAGAGTGCAAAACTCTCTAAACGCACAAGAAAAGATATTACGACTCTTCAATATTCCCACATACATTTCGTTATATTTGGAACAAATGACCAGGCACGCTGCTTGTGTGGGCTCCCTATGCATTACTGAGGCCGGCAGTGATGTGACGTGTATTATACGTATAAACTTGATAATGAGTAGAGGAAGTATCAAAAGTATTTCGGAAGGAGGTTCATTACCCTGAAACGAATTTGGGGTTTGTTTTTTAAAAAAAACACCGCAAGGATAGTGTCCATATTGAAAACATCGGCTATATTTCAACTGAGTGGAGTGCAATTTGAGGGGGGCTTTGGGATTTTCGGTTTTGCGATTTTGGCTGTTTTTTGGATCGGTTTTTCGGTTTTTGGGCCTAAAAGGTTCGGTTTTTCGGTTTTGATGTTCAGAGCGGTTTGCGGATTTTACGTGCTTTTGCATTTGGTTTTCGGTTTTCCCGAAGACTCTGAGGCGGTTTTCGGTTTTTTCTTTTTTGACCCCTTCAAAGATGAAAATGTAACGGTTTTGTCAGGTTTGCATGCGGTTTTCGGTTTTGCTGCCTTTTTTCGTCGGTTTTTCGGTTTTGGAGGTTTTTTTCTCCGGTTTTGCGGTTTCCTAGAGGCCCCAATGCCCCCCTCCAATTTGGCCTGAAATCATACGCGGGATTTTAAAATCATAAGTATGATTTCAGACCAAAATTGCATGACACGAGGTTCGATTACCACTTAATTACATCCATTTTGAAATCGCCTTAAATACTGGACTTGGTCAAGTCAAGTATTTTATTGATGCAGCACTGAGCGGTTTTAAAATAAATAGCGGAACCGGAAACGCTTTTACATCTTATTTTGTAGTCAAAACTGAACACTTTGACGTCTGTGTCAAAAACTCAGTCAAGCGTAAGATGATGAGATTTAGAGCAAAAAATAGTGCGATTTGTGAATAAATCGCACCAACTAGAGACAATCAGACTACAGGGACCACCAGTGATTTCAAAATGGATGTAATAAAGATTGTAAAACAAGGGCGTAATATGAACACGCATATGAGTTACGATACCTTTCAGCTCTGATTAAGAGCTAACCCTCGAAACGTCAGCCCTAGAAACTCTTTACGGTGGTCAATTTAATTTATTGATAAAACCAAATTATATTGCAAAAGGAATGGTCTGATTAAATGAGAAGAATAAGTTGAAAACCGTAAAGTATCACAATTATGGTTGAGATAAGGATACACTAGAGTAATTATAAGAAAGATAAAAAATAATTGGAAGAAAGAAATTAGATTATCTAGTATATAATACCAATATAATTTATTTTGATATATGTTTAGCAACATGTGCTTAACTTCCATCCTTCCTTAAGAGATATGGGATGCTGTTCTGTCAAAAATCTGAGAAACGTTATCACCTCAACCTGCTCAAATTACCAATTAATATTGCCTAGTGTTATAAATATTTTTGTGCTCTGAGCAAAAGCGAATACAATAATATGTTTTTGCAATATGAAGCAATGATTTGCCTATATTCAGCCCATTGTCTTCATCATAATTTGTTCATCAGTATTATTTCCTGTTTGTTAAATAGCTTGAAATCCAGTGGAGAATACTTCCCCAAAAGCAGAAGTGATCAAACAGTTATGGAGCAAGACAACTGAATTATGATCAAGGGTGTCAAATTAATGCTTTAGCGAGATGTAGAAAAATATGACAGTTGTTTCATTGTTGTCTATAGAAGAAGCAATTTTATTAACCAACTGAATCAAGGCCATTTAGGTGGAGCAAAGGTTCACAGGATGGGAGCCAAATAATTGAACCTTGATTTTATTAAACAACAACAAACATATGAAACATATGTGTGATTTATCATCTACGGGTTTATATCGAATTAATTTGATGGCCTGCTCCCAGTTGGCTTGTTAGCTCAATTGGTAGAGCGCTGCACTAGTATCGCAGAGGTCAGTGGTTCGAATCCCGTACAGGCCTGAAATTTTTTTCAGGTCTGATTTCCACTATTGCTCAAATAGTGCTTTACTGCGAAGGATCGTTCTCATATACGTCTCATAACCGCAGTTCACACATATGTTTCATATGTTTGTTGTTGTTTGATTTATCATCTACGGGTTTATATCGAATTAATTTGATGGCCTGCTCCCAGTTGGCTTGTTAGCTCAATTGGTAGAGCGCTGCACTAGTATCGCAGAGGTCAGTGGTTCGAATCCCGTACAGGCCTGAAATTTTTTTCAGGTCTGATTTCCACTATTGCTCAAATAGTGCTTTACTGCGAAGGATCGTTCTCATATACGTCTCATAACCGCAGTTCACACATATGTTTCATATGTTTGTTGTTGTTTGATTTATCATCTACGGGTTTATGTCGAATTAATTTGATGGCCTGCTCCCAGTTGGCTTGTTAGCTCAATTGGTAGAGCGCTGCACTAGTATCGCAGAGGTCAGTGGTTCGAATCCCGTACAGGCCTGAAATTTTTTTCAGGTCTGATTTCCACTATTGCTCAAATAGTGCTTTACTGCGAAGGATCGTTCTCATATACGTCTCATAACCGCAGTTCACACATATGTTTCATATGTTTGTTGTTGTTTGATTTATCATCTACGGGTTTATATCGAATTAATTTGATGGCCTGCTCCCAGTTGGCTTGTTAGCTCAATTGGTAGAGCGCTGCACTAGTATCGCAGAGGTCAGTGGTTCGAATCCCGTACAGGCCTGAAATTTTTTTCAGGTCTGATTTCCACTATTGCTCAAATAGTGCTTTACTGCGAAGGATCGTTCT